CGCTTTGCGACTGCATGGGACGCCAATGTTATGGCGCGAAAAATTGTTACTATGCACCTAACTTTTATTGAGTTAGTTTGATAATCCAAAATCTATTTGAATGCAATTTGTTACCTTCTTGTAATATCTGTTGCTGCTCATTTATAGTATTTGATAAATATTGCTTCTGAAATCCGGATGGTTTGGACCATGTATAATTGTATAGCATCATTGATAAATTCTACTTTATTTTCAGATAGTTAAACACACACTATACACAAGAATTGAAAAGATGCATTGTTAAAACAAAAACATTGTTACATTCCTTACTTCACGTCTTTCACTCATTCGCGCCTAAATCAAATCAAAAAAAAACTAGTTTTTTTTTTTTAATTCAAATTTGTTTACGACATTCTTGGCGGCCAGTACGTTGTTAAATATTCATACACAATATTTTTGCAACTTAAAAAATTATAATTTACCAATTAATTTCTGTACAAAACAATGCAATATTTAATCTAAATATGATCTTGCTTTCGAATGAACAAAAAATAAATTTACAATTGTTGTCAGCGCCATCTAGTATCAATTATTGCTTACCCAATTATTTAAATTTGGAATGACTCGATGGATATTGAATTTATATAACAAATCGATTATAAATTGATTTATGGCAATTAATTTAAATGAAAAAGAAATTAACTTTGATCTAACAAACAGAGAACCGATCACAGCTTCGATGTTTGATGTTGACACGTTTAACAAATCGAGGATCGAATTAACAACATATTAGAAGGGTTGGAATCTCGAATATTCTCATCAAATATATTATGTTACAACAAATCTGGTTTTAAAAAAAATTAAGTATTTAAATTTATATATTGCCGTTTGCAACAACGTCACTAGTCATGTTAGCAAAATTAATGATGGATATATGTTTGTAAATTTTGAAATCGTTTCTACACAGATTATAAATGTATGGATGTTTGTTACTATCTTTACAACGGCTCAACAGATCTCGTGAAAATGCGTCACAGGTAGAACATAGTCTGGAAGAACAATTAGGCTGCTATAATGTTGATGTTCGCCAGTTCCATTTGTTAAATCATTTTACATACAACAAAATACAAAATATTAATAAGTAAACACAATGCAAAAAAACTCGCCTCATTTATACGAAGTCTGGGCGTCGACTAAGCATTCCTGGTTCACTTTGAATGAACTTGGAAGTTTTTCTTTGCAGCCCACCCGGCCTGGACGTAACGTTTCGAACTTGTTCCTTGTTGTTAGTTTCAATTTAATTTACAAGTGCATTTAAAATTTAAATAAATATTCCTTGAGAGTTGGAAACTACGAGTTACGCGTCAAAGAATTATGTAAGTTGCCGAGTTCAGTTTACTTTTACTGGAATGCACTAGAGGGCGGTTTTTTAAACATTTATTTTATTTTAGAGTAGATTTACGTCTAAATCTTTGTCAACTTTTAACTGCAAATAGTAAATAGGCTGTTTTATGCCCATTTTTTTACTTACTAATATTCTCTGGATATACCTTCTAACATCCATACATCCAAACGTTGTAAATACAACTATGTTCACATTAAATTGCTTCTGGTATTATTACAAGTGCAAATTGCAGTCTATATAAAACTTCCGCCCTCAGTTCTCTGGCGTCTGTTAAATTAGGGCCCATTTTGTACCGAAATCAACCTTACGGGAACAATATAGGAGTTTGGAGCGAGAAATATAAAATTCTTCCGCACAAACTGGAGTAAGGAACGAAGTGACGTTTCATTTGTAGACATTATTGAATTTGACTTATTGGTAGAACGAACGGCAACATAGAGTAAGTTTAACGAGAAAATACATAGAAACGCTTTAATGTATATTTTCATATAAATCATCGAATTAACACATAATTCTGTTATGAAAAATTCAATGATTTTTAGATATTCACTTATTTGCGTTTAATATTTATTAATAAATTTAAAGTAAAATAACTAGTTAATGGCTACATTTACCCTTAATATGGTCGACAATGACATATACAACTTAAGCATATCTAGTAAATGTCATTACCCTGTTTTATGTGTTTAGATTTAATTAAATTCTCAATATTAACATCTTAAATAACTACAAGTAGCCTGTCCACGGAATCTCTGTTCTTAACGTTTATGGTATCAGGTATAGACAATGACGTTTGACTGGTCCTTTGTGGTATGACGTGGTCAGTCTTTATAGTTTACGAAGTCTGAACCATTCTCTATGATGTCCTTAAATGGTCTATTAGTAAAGGGGTCATTGTCACTTAAGAACACCTGAGCAATGTTCCGTTACTTGCAGATATTAGTTACTTTACGATACGTTTGCGCGGTATGCAAAAAAAACAAAAGTGAGTAGCCTACGTGTTCTTCCAGACTCTGTATACACCAAATTTTAACGAGATCCGTGCAGCAGTTTAGGCTACAAACTCTAACAATCATCTAAACTTTCGCATTTATAATATTAGTAAGATGCTATGAATAAAATGTGAAAGAAATTTAAGTAAAAAAACTGAAGACTTGATAAATAAGTTAGGAAAATGTTTTGACGAGATTCTGATTAATGTTGAAAGTTTGTTAATTTTTTGTAATTATACGTTTCGAAACTTTATCAAGAATTATGACGAATTTGCTTCTTCCAGCTTCTGTAATATCTCCCGGCGAAAACAAATCAAATTTCAACAAGATAAATTATTCTTTGACGAGGAATCATTTTTTTTATATTAATGGTTTTATAATTAGACAAGCTTTCGCGACACCCTCCGCGTGGAATTAAAAAAAAATGAGTAGCCTATATGTTCTTCCAGACTATCCTTACTTGTGTCAAATTACATCTAGATCCGTTTAGTAGTTAGGGCCACAGACACGAACTATTCATCTAAAATTTCACATTTAAAATATTAGTGATTTCAAAAATTTTCTTGGTTTCTCATTACTGTTCTTACTTAATCTTTTGACAACAATCATAAAGAAATTACGACTTCCGCTTCCGTCTTTCTACAATCCCTCGAAATATTAAATCAAGGAAAAAATCGGAGGCATTTTTTTTCTCCAATAAACTAATTGATCCAAATTTGATTAGTCGGTTCCGTTGCTCGTCAAATATTTGATCGCAGAAGAGGGATGGGAAGGGGAGGGGACCGAAATTAATTACGATTCCAACTGCGTTTGTGTTACTTTGAAAGTAACTTCGTACCTGCCGTTTCGTGTACTTCGATTTTGCTGAATTTCCTTCGTTTATCGGTGTTTGAGTTAAAACGGTTACCTTTCCTTGCAAAGTTTTCTGCTGTACTACTTTTTATTTTGTTTCGGTTTTAGTTCTAACATATTAATCGATGATTTATAAATAGTTAAATTACTGTGAATTTAGAACTTGCTTAATAGCCTCTGTATTTTAGGACATATGCACCGACATTAGGACGTAAACAAGAAAGTATTAAGATTGAATGTGGATGGCTAGAAAGGAAGAGGAAGACCAACGAACTTTGGATTGGGTGAAAAAGAATCTGCTTAAGAAGGGAATAAATTCAGATATGGCTGATAGAAGTGTATACAAGAACAAATACTGTGCCGATCTTTGGTAGATGAGGTTGTAGACGAAATTTTTCAAGATGTCAGAATTAATTCGTACTGAAAGCACCTATCCTATTAAGACTAGGTTAGGCAACCACTCTCTACATATTGGACTACATTAAATTATCTTTAAAATTGCAAATTGCTATAAAATTTAGGTCGCATATTCGTTATGTTTCTTTAATAGCTTTGATAGTATAAGAATCTTCCTTTTGTGTAAGAGATTTCTTTTTATATACAACTAGCTATTCCCGTGCGACTTCATTCGCATGAAATTATGAAAATTGCTTTATTAATAACATTTGTCAAATTCAATTGCAAATGTCAAAATGACAGACAGGACACGATGACAAAGCATGGCAATTTTGCTTCCTTGATGTTGGCAGCAACTTATGATCTCTTTCCCACATTAGGGTTTTTTCCAAAATATTTACCCCCTAAGTTTAATGCCGACAAACTATATAGCCTAAAGCGTGACGTAAGTGTAGGGCTTTTTACTAAAAAAAAATATTAAAAATGTGTGGTAATTGCTGACATCTTAGGCAATAAAGAAGTGTGTGTTTACGCTTTATTATAATAGTATAGATTTTCTATTTTCTGAGTTGATATGAGAAACTTAATAATAGAGAAAACGTAGCAATATGATCAGGAAATTCGATACGAAGTCAATAAATGCAGGCTTCATTTATATTTCTTCAAATATAGTTAATTCAGGTCACGTACAAGTAGTTTCGACTGTAGCTATAGACAGCGATGAGCCTTGTTAATAATAGGGTTGTGCTTATTCATAGTTGATCAAGACTTGGGTTAAAAAGATATTTTCTTTAGCACAACCTTGATTAAACCGTATTAAATTATTGAAAGTCTCGGATATTCGAAAGAAAAAAGCATTGAACGGAAATAAGAACATTCAATAGTAATTGAATTTCTTTTCAAATAATAATGAAAACATTTGATTGAATTGTTTATGAAATACTAGCTGTTTCCGTGCGACTTCATCCGCATAGAATCATGAAAATTTTATTGTTTACATGTGTCAAATTATCAATGACAATGTCAAAATGGTATGACATGATGACAACCTTGCTTCCTTGATGTTGGCAGCAACTTATGGTTTCTTTCCCACATTAGGGTTTGTATCAAAATATTTACCCCATAAGTTTAATGGCATGAAAATATATAGCCTAAAGCCTGACATAAGTGTAGGGCTTTTTATTAAAAAAGGTTTTATTCCAAAATGTGTTGTAATTGCTGAGATCTCAGGCAACAAAAAAGTTTGTGTTTACGCTTTCTTATAATAGTATGGATTATACAGTTTGCAAAACTTGCGTATCTTAACGAACTCTTGTAGGTCACATAATTATAAATTCCGTTTTCTTTAGTTTACAGATAATAATATAGACACTTACTTGTATATTATTGTCGTCGTGTATTAACTTTTGTGTACCATTGTACCACTCTATATGGGCAGCCGGACGCGCGCCGGACACCTCGCACATCAGCGTCAGCAACGTGCCTTGTGTCGCGTGCCCACCCACTCCGGTCACTGAGATTTTATTCGGAGGTACTGTAAAGAAATAATGACATCAATTATTATATATAGATATTGCTCACGACTTCGTCTTATAATTTTAAATAATAATGCCAAATATAGGGTATACTTGGTATTATTATTTAAATATATAGGTGAAAGAATATTTAAAATCGGTCCATTATAGTGCGTCTATAGGTTGTCTAAATAAGATATTATAGATTAGTTTGATAAATGACGCATGTGAAGTATCGAATTCAATTTGTATGAAGTCAAATGCCACACTTAATAGACAGGTACCGTAGTGACGAAACAAACACGCAGCGAACAATTATGAACTATCGATATTCGGTTTAAATAATTATCAAACTCTACTAAAATTATTATTTCCTTATACACTAATTTAGAGGATAATTCTAGTATTGATTATAGTGTAGAGAATTTAGCCATGACAGTAATAATAGCGAAATTCAATTCTATTACGTACGGCTGTAGTAGTAATAAACATTTATTTACTCTCACTAATTGTTATGGTTATTATTTATTTGAGAAAACAGTGTTTTTTTTTATTTCATTACTTATAACAATAAATCTATCGATTCCAACTTCTATAAGAATAAAAATCAAAAATCGATAAGATTCATGACTGATTTTACACAACCCATCCCTACTAAATTTGAAATGAGTTGTCAAACTAATCTAATTATTTAGACAAACTATAGTTTCGGAGTTATATCAATACAAAACAGCAAAAATGTAAATCTTTCCTCTTTATAACATTAGTATAGATATAGACGAGCTGTTCCCGTGCGGCTTCATCCGCAGGAAATTACAAAAACTTTTTACTGTTTACATTTTTGTTTCAATTGTAAATGTCAAATTCGCAAATGACAACAAAGGCTTTTGTGACATTGGATAACAATTACCGTTACCATGGCAACGTTTTCCTTGTAAGTTTGTAGCTTTTGTCCTTTTCCCGTATGACTTTTTTTCCAAATTATTTACTCCTTAAGTAGTATAGCGTGAAAATATATAGCCTAAAGCATGTCGTAAGTGTAGGGCTTTTTATTAAAAGGATTATTCAAAAACATAGTGTGATTGTTGATATCGCACATAACTAAGTAAGGTGTGTTTACGCTTTATTATATAAGTATACATATAGATTAAAAATATCCTAAAATACTCTCAGTATCCAATCGTATTACAAAATAAATAAAAAACGTGCCATTGGAAGTCAGCAATTGCCCCAGAGCAGTGCCAATCCCTTAGATTCCCAGTAGTGCAATAACGTACAAGTTATCCATCTACTCTGGAATCATAATACCCTAGTATACGAGCCATGAAGGACGGGTTCCGGAACTTTTACTGATATTTTGACTCCCGAAGGGATAAAGCAATTGGATCTAGTGTTGGGACATGTTGGGATTTAAATGAAGTAGCCGAAAATGTTCAATTTAAAACAGATTAAATATTATCAAAGGATATCTGTAATATCAAGGATTTATTAAACATCTTTAAATGTTCGCTAAATGTTTTACTTTGTCGAATTATTAGTTAGTTTAACTACTCGCTATCAGATGTCGCTACGATAGAACATTCTGGAAAGAGCTCGATTGTTCCACGGACATGAATTCCGCTACTCATCAATATATCGCGCAAAAATGTACATAATTTATTTGATGGAAAACATCGTGTTGCCATGTCTGTGGCGTAAAGATATGTGTGTCAACCTGCACTTGGACTATATGGCCTAGTCACACTTAACTTAGGGTAAACTCCCACTCTATTGGTACATATAGGTGGTGATGATGATGAAAGGATAAAAATAATCACTATACTGTTAATTAGCTGTTGCTCGCGACTTCGTCCGCATGAAATAAGGAAATAATAAAAACATATAGACTATGTTATGCACCGCTAACGTAGCTTTTAATTTGTGGAAAAAAATTAAAATCGGCCCAGTTTTTGAGTTATTTAAATACATACAAAAATACAAATCTTTCCTCTTTATAATATTAGTATAGATTGAAATATCCAGAATCAATTGAATATTCTTTAAAGCGATTTATTAAAAGAAACGTCTTTCAAATCAAATTACAAAATCGATATTACTCCTCACAATAAATGCCGAATTAATTCCAGAAAAATGAAATTTACTTCCCGAGGATATTAACTTTATTACCCATAAGATGTCTTAAAACGCTTTTTAGAACGAAATTTTATGGATCACGTCTACGCTTTACTAATTTCTTTCAATCATAAATTTTATCGTTGCCAATAAAAATTGTTAAATTTACAATCTTTAATAATTCGTGATAAAACTTAAGCAGTGTTTTTTTATATGTTAGTAGATTTTTGTTAATCTACTAATATTTCCTTTAACCACTCCTAAGCTACCTACTAAACACTAGGCTTGTGCTAGGATATGGTCCATGACAATAGTCGAATGGCGGGATTCGAACCCAAGATCGGAGATAGTCCGTACCCCAAACCATGAGGCTATTGGCGCTTCAATTTCAAATTAATTTCATATTTTTGTTAAGCATAAATTCCATTTCGATTACATTTTAAAAAACTTAGTAAATGTTACAATTTACTTACTTTCTTTATAATCTGACTTCCATACTTATGAGTCATTAAATGTAAGGGTGTCCCTTAGTGTAGTTTAGTACAAACTTTGACAGTTCAACAACAGTGTTGTAAGCATACATTTTATTTAATAATATTCGATATTCCCCTAAAATACCAATCTATTGCAAAGCAAGGGAAATTATTTTCATCTCTCCCCGATTTCATTTCCACCTTCGCGTCAATATTGCCTAAAATACCTATATAGACCCTTCGCAAATTAATTGACCGTTACTTTCATATTGGCAAAGATAATTCAATTTTCGTCAAGAGAATTATTGACTCGTGTGTAGTCAAAGGCAATCTGTGGGTCAGTAATAGACACGCCCGCTCTATTTGTTCTAGAGGTCTGCGTCGAGCACTCTACTAATATCTTATGAGTGTATGGTACAAGTTTTAAGAAACAAGATATTTGCGATTTGTTATTCTTACGCCATTTGTACAATACAAAGTACATTTCAGACTATGCTCTATATCTATGCCAAATTTGATCGAGATCTATTCAACAGTTTAGGCGGCATACTCTAAAACACAACCATCTAGCCTTAGCAAGTATAATATTAGTAGACCTTTAAAAAATCCGAATATTAAGTTCCACTTTATGTACTATCAAAAAATACACGAAGAAAGATCTTTAAAAACCGCTGTCAGCTTATGCGTTGTACCGTAACCTGACACCATCGGTGTTACGATTGGCTCATTACTTACAGACTGAATAGGCGTCGGCTTCCTCGGCCTCTGATCTTTCCTCTATCTCACCTATTATGTTAACGGGCAGTAAATGCGAATATATCAAAGATATAATGATAGTTTTTGATGTGACGATTGTGTATTACGAGAGTTTCTATACAAAGTATGTTATTGCTAGTAATTTCTTGAATCATTTAAGTACATTTAAGTAGTAGTAAGTACAGTGGCAGAGTCTGTAAATACAGTGGTCAACAGTGGTAGAGCCCGCTTTAACATCTTCGCACGAATGGGCCGGCACGCCCGCACGACCACACAGAAAACAGGCGTGAAATGGAAGCAATTCCGCGTTTCGTCTGATGAGTGTGGTGCCGGAGGCCTAATTTTAGTTTCTTTCCTTTTCCACTCTTTTCTTTAGAGGAAAGAAAGGGAAGGAAAATTGGGTTTGAAGGTGGAGGAGACGCATAGGAAGGGGAAATATCCTCTTTATGTGCGTCTCCTCCTCCGTCAATTAAGGGTAGGTAACGCATCTGCAATTGCGGATGTTTATGGGCAGCGGTCGCTTTCCATTTTGGTGGATTCAGGCCACTTGCTCGTTTGCCAACTTATATTACATAAAAAAAAGTGCTGGAGGCCTAATTCTAGTCCTCTTCTGTATAAGAAAGGAATGGGAAAGAGAATTTAGCGGGACGCAAAAATATTGATGTAAAAAAAAATCGTTCCATTCGACCCGCTGACCTTTACGCTGGTAAAAAGCTTATTGCTTTTGATTTTCGCCGAGCAAGGGATTTAACAAATGTAATAAAACGTAATGATAAGGCATCTATCTTGTTCTTAGGAGTAGCAAAAACTTCAAGACTTGTGACTTAAAGTGGGCGCACACATTTGACTAAAGTATCGCACACAGGTTATGCGATTGTCGATTGTTTCGCAGCTCAACTGTTTAGTTGCATAACTAAAAATCGAGTAGTGTAACTATAAGGCCAGGTATCAAAGCGAGACTAAACAGTTATGCGATAGTTTAATCATAGGTGTGCGCACGCTCTTATCATAATCTGAGGCACTACAGCAGCGGGTGGGCCTGGGCCTGGTCAAGTAAACTTCTCCAATTCTGTCTATTGTAGGCCTTTTGCTTCCAGCCCTTGACGCCGATGTTTATGTTTATTTCACGCTCTTATAGTGACTCAAAAAACGTCAAAAAGAATAACAAATTACACGAGCAGTTAACTATTTAATACAAAAGTACTTTTAAAACTACAAAAAAGTCAACCAAAGACTTTTAATTCTTAAAATTAAATAAATATGTAATTTTTTTTTAGAATATAACAACACAGAGAAGGTTGTGTAACAATAGATGCTGAAAACATTTTTCAGAAGAACGATTTTTTTACAAATTCAAAACAATGTTATCGCTGTAATGAAATTAATTTGATATCAAAAGAAAACGTACAAAAAAACAAAACAATGCTTTAAGTTTAATAGAAATATGAATTCAAGCATAATTATATTTTAGAACGAGCAATAAAACTCTGTAAAAATATGTCACATAAATAAAATAAGTGTGCTTTGTTAGTTTTCTATTTGTCCCTTAACAAACGAAATTTAATTTTCTATATTTAAGCCACAATAGCTTTTTCAAGCTAACTGATTTTTAAAAGATAAGTCAAGTTTAAAAAGCTATGAATTTTAACTAATTTTTAAAAATGCGAAAGTTTAAATGG